TATATATATATATATATATTAGATATTATTTTTTGAAGCGGCTATATAGTTCAAATATTTTATTCTAATGGGTTCCTATATTTGGACGGTTTTATATTTGTGTGTTGTTGTTCAAACGTTGTTAGTAACATATGGCGTTAGTTGAAAGAAATACGAGTAGAGGCAGATGTACACTTGCATCAAGAAGGTGAGAACATACTATCTTGAAAAAAAAAGTTCTAAAGTAGAACGTTGCATCTACAACAATAACAATAAATATAGTATAATCTTACAGGTGAAGTCTGAGAAAGATATTGTATACGCAAACCTTACCTCTACAAGGTGAATATAGATGGGCTATTTCCTATAGACCATCGGCTCAAGAAAAGATGAAAAAAGATAGGAAAGAAAGAAATAATTTAAAATTTTGGAGTTGCATCTACTAAAGAGGGACTTGATTTATGATATGGTGTTGATTGATTATAATTACTTAGCCACAAGGATCAGGAGCGGAGGTACAGTAGTGGGTGCGGGTTTGGGCGAACCCAGTTACTTTTTCCGAAACCCTGTATTTGTATTGAAAAATTTACCACATCTATATAAATATATCATGCTGAACCCAGTAACAAAAGAAATCTAGGTTTAATGGTAAGAGTTGTGCGTTTGCTGGAAAAAGATGTGGGTTCAATTCCCGATTAAAGCAGATTTTTATTTCGTTTTTTTTAAATATTGTTTTCACAAATCAACTTAACGACAACGTTTTCTTCACTTTCCTCTCAACAGACACTAAATAACATTATTTAAAAATAAAATATAACGTGTTTCTTTCTAATAAACAAAGAACACAAGCTTCCCAACTTTAAACACAATTTTCTTCCAATTCCCAAATAAAAAAAAAACTAGGGTTCTGCTGCCTCTATCAACTTCGTTGCTAGTTGCTACTCTCTTGACACCACATCGAAATAGTTCGTCTCAAGTATCTGTCCATCTTTCCATCTCCTGTGAATCAAAATCCTTAACCCCTTTTCAATTGATTTTTGGGTATTGTTAAACTTAAAGTTAGTAAAAAAACCTTTTCTTTTAGAACACTCCTGATTTGAGGCAAATTATTTTAGTATTGGAATGAATAATCCCAAATAGAAATAGTGCAAAATTGTTACAAAGTAAGTCATACGGTTGATCCTAATTTGGTTTGAGATTAAGCTACTGATGATTGATTGTAAAAGGGGAATCGGCTAAATGTGCTAACAAGAGTAATGAATTAGTGTAATGAATTGTGCTATCACAAAGTATTACTCTAGTATCATTTATGAATAGATGATTAAAAGGATATTTACTTGATTATGAGGACATGAGTGACATTCTGAACTTATATTTGTTTATCTGTGTTCAATTTTTGTTGCATTTGCTCTTTATATTTTAGCACTGTGCATTCATGAGTTCTTATTGGTATATCTTATGGCACCTCGATTCTCTTTGTCAATTTATGGGAACTATCTAGCTAGACTAAGTTTTTAAATTTTTAGGAACAAATCATAGTATAGTTTACAAATTGAACTATGTCAAAGGAGATAAAGAATAGTTTGTTATAGCATTTTGAAACATACAACTTCAAGTGAATTTTTGTTTTGTGATTTTTAGGTTTTTCTAGCAAAAGTCGATATGATCACGAGTTTTTACAAAACTCAAGCTTCTGCAGCTTCTTCTAGATCTCCTTTGACAAGTTCTCCATGTCCAGTTATTAATAACAATATTAATCCTTCCCAAGCATCGAATAAAATGTATGATTATGAGCCCGATCCTGCTAAAAGAAAACCAATTTCAGAATATCCTCCTAATTTACGTGACCGTGTAAGGAGAAATTATATACAAAATGGAGCTTGTCAACCTCGTGGTTTTGTCTTTCCAAAAAGAGATTTTGGGGGAATAATGCGTCACTTTAATCCGGAATGGTTTAAAACTTCATGTTCTCAATGGTTAGAATATAACATTAAACAAGATGCAATATTTTATTTTTGTTGTTACTTGTTTAAAAATGAGGTTGGAGGATATGGAAAAAATATAGGTGATGCTTTCACAACAGATAGTTTTAGAGGTTGGAATAAAGGTTTAAAAAGACTTAAATCACATGTGGGTGACGTGAGTAGTGTTCATAATCGATGTTTCAAGATGATGCTAGATTTAATGAACCAAGCACAATCCATTCTAACTTCTTTGGACAAGCAATTTGAGAAAATTAAAAGTGAACATCGAGTTTGTTTGAATGCTTCAATTGATGTGATAAGGTATCTTTTGTAAGAAGGAATTCCTTTTCGGGGCCATGATGAGAGTGTAACTTCTACTAGAAGAGGCCAATTTTTAGATCTCTTAAAATGGTATGCAGATAGGAAGGAAGATGTGAAAAATATGGTATTAGAAAAAGCTCCAAAAAATAACACCATGACTTCTCCTAATATTCAGAAAGATATTGTGAATTCTTGTGCAAAAGAAACGGTGAAAGCAATTATTGAAAATTTGAATGAGAATTTTTTTGGGATATTAGTTGATGAGTCTAAGGATGTCTCTCATAAGGAACAAATGGCTCTTGTTCTACGCTATGTCAATAAAGAGGGTGAACTTATTGAGCGATTCCTTGGTCTTGTCCATGTTAAAGGTACAACTGCGCACGCATTACAAAAAGAAATATATTCTTTGCTTTTACAACATTCATTGAGTTCATCTCTAATACGGGGACAGGGGTATGATGGAGCTAGTAACATGCAAGGACACATCAACTTTGATTCTGAAAAATAATCCTTCGGCACATTGCATACATTGCTTTCCTCATCAGTTGCAATTGACTCTTGTAGCTGTTGCAAAAAAAAAAAAATACCATGATGTAAATAATTTTCTTGACATTCTTGCTAATGTTTTGAATGTTGTTGGAGGTTCTTATAAGCGTAGGGAGATGCTTAGAGATGATCAAGCTGAAAAATTAGATGAGTTATTAGTGCTTGGTGAAGTTCATCCAGGAAGTGGATTAAATCAAGAACTTGGGCTTCAAAGACCAGGTGATACTCGTTGAGATCTCACTTTAAGACATTACGTAACTTTATTTCTTTATTCTCTTCGATTGTTCATATACTTGGAGTTCTTGCAAATGAGGGTTCAAATTATCAGGAGAAAGCATTAGCCAAAAGTCTAGTGGAAGATATAAGATCTTATGAGTTCGTTTGTATATTACATTTGATGTTAAAACTATTGGCAATTACATATGCTTTGAATATGGCCCTACAAAAAAAGATCAAGATATTGTTAGTGCAATAAAACTTGTTGATTTCACAAAGAGGCAATTGCAAACAATGAGAGAATCTAAATGGAATTCTTTGATAGAAGATGTCTCTTCGTTTTGTGATAAGAATGGTATTGTAATCCCAAAAATGGATGAGAAGTATGCACTTGGAAAGTCGAAGTGTAAAAGCTCAATTGTTACATATTTCCATCGTTTGTACGTAGAGGTTTTTTGTGCTACTATTGATTTGCAACTTTCGGAGCTTAACAGTCGTTTTAGTAAAGTGAATACTTCTCTGCTTCTTGGTATGGCTAGTTTAAGTCCCGATGATTCTTTTGCGAATTATGATAAAAATAAGATTATGAAACTTGCTATATATTATCCAAATGAGTTCACTGCTTCTAAGCTTGAAGATCTTAGTTATGAGCTTGACAGTTATATGGACTATGTGCGAGAAATGGACAATGCATTCTCTAACTTGAAAGGGTTTGGTGATCTGTCGAAGACATTGGTTAAAACAAATATTCACAAGACATGGAGACTTATTTATTTGCTTGTGAAGCTGAGTTTGATATTACCTGTGGCTACTGCAATGGTTGAAAGGACTTTTTCTTCAATGAAGTTTATTAAAAATGATTTGCGAAGCAGGATTGGTGATGACTTTTTGAATGATTGTTTAGTTTGTTTTATAGAGGATGAAGTATTTGAAAGTGTATCTAATGATGCGATCATTGATCGTTTTCAAAACATGACAACTCGTCGAATGCAATTGAAATGATAATGTTTATATTCATATATTGTGTTTGCCTTTCGTTACTTTTTAAATATATATTAAATATCGATACTCATTCTTTAGTCAGTTTGATATTGTATATTAGTTTTAGGTCATAGTCTTATTTTAAATTTTAGAACCCACACACTCCAAATCCTAGCTCCACCTCTGACAGGAATGAAGCTACCCTTGTATAAAGGGAGTCAACTGACACCTATTCGTCGAAAAATTACATTGTATAAATACATTAGTTTTTTTAATTGTATATATACTACATGTTAGGTGTGGAAGCCATGCAAATTTTGGGTACCAATTTGATCTCTTGGAATGTGTAATCTAGTAGAAAATTAGTATTATCCACCACTGCCTACAAGTTTATAGTTTTCACGTCAACGAGGTAATCGAGTTGTGAACAGAATTTTCTCTTATCACTAAAAGAATGGTTATCACACATAAGAATATTGAGAGAATAGAAATCCAGGCTGCAAAGAAAGGCTAAAACTCAGTGTGAGTTTTCAAATGGCGGCCTGTCTTCTTTCGGTTGACATAATATTATTATTTTGAAGCATAATATATTATCGTCTATACCCGCATGGCCATATAACAATCATTCGCTATAAAAATTAAGTTTTTTATAGAACTAATTTTTATATTATATTATAATATATATTTTCTGTAACGTACGTCATTACAATAATAATAAAAAATCAAAACAAATAAAGTTGTTATAGAAAGATTTGACTGTCCTGGTATTCTTAGAGTCAATGGATTGCTTTAATTTGCTTTACCAGATTCTAGAAAAAATATGGACCAGAAAGGCTAATATAATATCTATATATTGTGGTCTGTTCCTTTTCATTAAAAGGTGAGGTCCGTGGTGTTTAGTGAAAAAGAAAGGCACCTAATTCCTCTTGTTGTAAGAATGGCAAGCAAGCTTCTTGAATTATTCCATAATACTTTCTGCAACCCAAGTAGATGGACAAATATTTAAAGATATTTGAAAATATATTGGATATATAAGAATAATGACACTACGTGCTTGATTTTCCTCTGAAAATGGTGCTTTCCACGTTCTCTATGTTATAAGAACTCCCTTAGAGAGGAATATTAAAGAACGACAAACCTTAGAGTAATGGTAAAGTTGTCTTAATGTGATTCATGGGTTATGAGTTTGAACCGTGGAATCAATTATCAAAGGCGGCCCGACGAATTTTGTGGTCTAAAGCCAAATTTACGAGGCGCCTTATTTTCTTTAAATAATTTTTTAATTTGAAGTCCATTTTTCTAGTTCTTTTTATATGCAAAGTTATTAATAATTTTTTTATAATTAATTTTTTTTCTAATAATTCTATCTTAATTGACAATATAGTTAATCCATTTAACCTCTCTTGAGACATTATTGAGCTTAGTTAAGATTTTATCAATTTTAATTTCGAAAAAACTTTTTTTTGCTGAAGTAGCGGTAACATGAGTTGTTAACATTATTTTATAACCAATATAGACATTTGGAAAGAATCAAATTTTTTTATTTGATTGAGCATATCAATCAAACCGTTATCTTCCAATTGTACTATTTTTCCTAACACTTTTAATTTAGAAAATAAATCTAAACCATCAATATTAGATTGATTATTATGCTTCAAGAAACACTCAAGATTAGGCGGTATTTTTCAAAATTTCCATCATCTAGTGATCTCAATTTTTTACATTAAATAAAAAACAAAAATATTTTCATATGCTTTGAAAATCTATTCTGAAATGGAAAAAATAGTCTTATCTAATATGTATAAAAAGTAATTAACTCTTAAGGACTCTTCGAGAGATTTTGAGATTTCAAATCAATATTCTCTTAAAATTATTCGGGGTAGGGGTAGGGGTAAGGTCTGCGTACACACTATCCTCCCCAGATTTCAGTAGTGGGATTTTACTGGATTGTTGTTGTTGTTGTTGTTGTTGTTGTTGTATTCTCTTAAAATTATTTTTTTTCTATATATCACAAATTTCTTACGAAGTTCGGGTTTAATTTTCATTTCAGATGCAATTTCCTTGGCAGAAATCATACTAGTTGCAAATCCTTTTACCCCTTAAGTTTTTAAGACCACAAGTTTTAAAAGTCTTTTTTTTTTCTTAAACTCCGTGGCGAGTCAAACAACCTCATCTAAATTGAAACATATGGAGTATATAATATATTAGGTGTAATAAAAAAAATGGGCCCCCCATAAATGTGGGGCCTAAAGCAGTTGCTTTACCTGCTTTATGATAGGGTCACCCCTATCAGTTACAGATATTTGCATTAGGGTAGGCTACCTGCATTATACCCAATAGGGTATGACCCTTTCACATGTCCTGCATAAACGTGAAATACTTCGTACATCGGAGTGACTTTTTAGAGAGGAATATTAATATTATATTCTGTCCTATGAGATCTATGATTTTCACTAGTGAAAAGACAGAAGTTCAAATCTTTTTGATAACATAATATAAACGTGAGAAGTTGTATATCCAGCTATTGCAGAAGTATCAGGGGCGGACCTAGAGTATAGAATACGGATTCCCGGGAATTCAATAACTTTTGCATAGATCTTGTATTTATATTAAAAAAACTCACTAAATATTTATAAATATCTAATTGTGAACCCAAATATTATTACATATTAATCTAAAATTATGGTAGGAACCCATAAGTCTCAAATCCTGAATCCGCCTCTGAGAAGTAATATAACTTATATCCACATATAGCATAATAGAACTTATATATATATATATATATAAGAGCTTAGCATGTGATAGTTGCATGTATATACCATTTGTACGTATTAAAACTATTATCTTGTAAGTTATATGATTGTATAAATAATTTATATATTCTCAACGCATACAACTTAGACTCTTACCGGTAAGGGTAAGGGAATCTTCTTTCTCTCCTCTTGAACCATTATGAACTTTTGTTTGGCTTTCATAGGCGCAAATGTCTTATCATATGACCTGCAGAGTAGATGCCATTCCCTATCAAGTAAAGGTGTTTAACAGGCTGGGTTGACCCGTAACCGGACCGGTCCAGACCGGTTAAAACCGGAACCGGACCGGCCCGGTACATAGGGGGCCAGGTGGGCTGGGTAGGAGGGGTAGAGGGGGTTGGTCCATTTAAATTTTGGTAATGGTTAACCGGACCGGTCAAACCCGATCCACGTGAACAGTACTGTGTACCGGTTAAACCGGCCCGGCCCGGTACAATCTTTTTTTTTTTGTTTTTTTTTTAATTTTTTGAATTAAGTGGGGCCCACTAACCGTTGGCAACGGTAAGACCTGGCAGGGATCCGTTGCCCAACGGGTTAATTGCATTTATAGCCTCTTTTTTCTTTAAAATTTAACCTTTTTTCAATTTACAAAATTAATCTTCTCTAAAACTATAAATACACCCCTTCTTCTTCATTTCTTCACTCAACTCTCATTTCTCAATCTCAATTTCTCTTATTCTCCAATTTTCAAGATTTCAAGTCTCAATCTCAAATTCTCAATTCTCAAATCTCAATTCAATTTAAATCATGCCTTGTACTTCTAGAGTGCGCTCATATATTTGCAACACTTTGAGGTGGTAGAAGAAAATGAAGAAGGTCAGAAAGTAAAGTGCAAGAACTGTGGTCAAGTCTTAAATTTTCGTTCAGAGTCTGGCACAGGCAGTTTAAGGAGGCATATCAAGTATTGTCTTGAGCGTCCTCCGGAAATTCGTATTTAAGATTTTAAGATAATTTGTGTTATTTTAAAATTATTAGACGTATTTATGCTTAATGTTTTAGTTTGTTAGATTAATTTGAAGTATTGTTAATTTATTATGCATGAAAATTTAGTTTTAAAATGCAAACTTTAATTTTGAATTTTAAAATAAATGTAGCACTTGCAATTTATATTAATACTTTTGTATTAATATAATTTATAATCTTTAAATTAATACAAAGTATTAATATAACTTACAATAGTTATACAAAATACAAAAAAA